CACTCAGAGGAGCACCCCCAAGAGGGCAGGTGTGAGAACTGACCTCGCCTTGGCCTTAGCCACAGGCCCCGCACTTAGCTCAGGCCTCATCTCAGGGGACCAGGGAACTGTACTAGATTCCAAAGGAGGAAAACAACTTAGCTATTGGAGTGGTCACGGAAGGCATCACAGAGAGAGGTCTGAACTTCTTCAGAGGGTGTTGAGTACCAGAACCAGTGAGCAGGAGAGACGGGAGCATGCTGGCCAGGACGAAAGAGAAGCGGAGGCCCATCCAGGACAGCACTGGCAATGCCCAGGGAGAGGACGCAGATCTGCTTTCGGAGAACTAAGGTTGAGGCACAGGGAAGCCAGGGGGCAAGGCTGGGAGGTGATGAACACCAGGCCAAGGGCTTGTTTTCCAAACTTGGTTCCAAACTTTGAACACCAATATCCCAGTTAACACTGGGAATGAGGAGGGTTGCTGATTTACTATAACGTCAAGATCCTTCCTTGTGGGCAGGTGTGAGAACTGTTGTCATGGGAGACAATGTAATAAGCATCCAACCTGTCACTTAAGTGACTGCTGTGTGTTAGGGACTGCTCCACACAGCTCTCTTACTGAAGCATACAACAGCCCTGGGGTGTAGCTACAAACATGCTCGCTCCTTTTAGGTAAGGAAACCCAGACAAGGAAAGGTTGGTTTATCAAGCTCACCAACAACAGTTGCTGTAAGTGGGAACTGGGGAACCTCAAACCCAGTGTGTTCGAGAAAGAAACCCCCTTGACCACCCCACAGAGTCTTGGCTTCTGCCTGCTGGAGTGTCTGGGCTGTGGGGTAAGGGAGAGGGCACAGAGAAAGAGAGAAAGAGGACCACACTAAGCCTCAGGAATGATGTACCTCTAGACATCCAACAGGAAGGTCATGGCCAAGGACAGAATTAGACAGGGAACAAGAAAAGTATACAGACTAAGGCACAGAGTGGGGAAGAGCCTTCTGGAGAGCCAAGCAGAAGCCTTTTCTCTGCGTGTGTTTCTGCCACGTGATCAACTACACCCTAGCTGACCTTGATGTTTAAGCCAGGGTCACACTGCTGCCCTCGATGGCAGATGTGCGGCTCTGTGGCTGCCTGGACGATGAAAGGGATGGGCTGGAACGACAGGGCAGATGTGTTCCTCAGCAGCAGATTACAGGAAGCCTGACCACAACTGAGCCGCGCCAGCGGCTGCCTGGCCACCATGTTTTCCAGGTCATTACTGTGGTCGTGGCTGGAGCAGGGTCACAGTCACATGCCCTAGAGGAGTATAATTTGGTTGGCTGGAGTTTATGTTCTGCAATGCTGCCATCTGGCCAAGCCAGAGGGGCCACCAGCAAAGAAACAGCTTCCCGTGTTTGTGCAGGATCTGGGCAGTTCGCAAAGAGCTTCGCAGTCCTTACCTCATGTGAGCTGGACAGCCTCTGAGGCAGAGGGGGAAACTGAGTTCCTGAGAAGTTAAGTGATTTAGGACAGGTCACATGGCAAATGGACATCAGAACTATATCATGGCCCAAACCTGTTCTAGGTCTGCTCAGGTATCTGGAGCACAGCTAATGACATCCTGAGAAGTGAAGTAAAGAGAGCAGGAGTGGTAGAGGAGTAGAGGTGGGGTGGGGGGATGGGTGGGGGGGGCGGAGAGTAGGTTACTGATTCCTCTCCCTCGCTGTACATCTGAGACACGCAGCCAGCAAATGGTAAGTGGATACCACTGGATGCCTTGTTAAGGCCTTTTCACCCACATCACTTCCCAATGTGCCCACACAGGTGTGAGTGTATAGAGAGAATCTAAGTGACCTTGGGTGGTGAGAAAGACCCCAACCCTCACGAAGCTAGAATGGGCTTCATTTCCAGCCTGTCTCCTCAGAAACCGTTCAGTGTGGTCAAGCAGGGGCAAATGGTCGTGAGACTTTGGGCCCATCGGTTAGATGTGACCGACCAAACCAGCAATTCTGGATCTAACCCTGCAGTCCTCCGGGGCTGGCCCTGCCCCACTCCAGTGGCTCTTGTTGCTGCCTGTCTACTGCAAAACAAAATGACCGTCCTGGCTCTCCCTGGGGCTGCTGTGACCATGCAAGGGATCTGTGGTTTGGCCAGGCTTGCCTGGCCCCATGTGATGCTCCTGGAATAGCTGTCCCTACCAAACAGGCTGACCACACGGTCCTCAAGGATGAACCCTGTGTGTGACCACATCACAGCTGTCGCCTCCTCCCTCACTTTGTGGTAGCCTGGGTCAGGACTGCTTTGCTCTGGCACTGCCTGGAAGTTTTCCTCACCTGCCCTCCCTAACCATCTCTTTATGGCTATTGGACACACTTACTTGCTCCAGTCCAAACAGCAGGAAGTAGCCTAGAACACTACACCCACATTCTCAAAAAATGGATTATGGATGTTTGTCTTTGTTTAGAAGTTTTGTTCCAAATTGTTATTGGTCATAGTCAATTTCTTTCTAAAAGAAGAAAGGGGGGTATGATATAGAAATGATGGGAAAAAAGGATAGATTACTAAATCTACTTTAATCCCAAAACAACTATTAATCTTACATATTTTACATTGGTATGGATTTTAGTTTATTGATACAAATTTAAAGTTGATTTTGTTATACTGTATGTATATTTCTACTCTTGTTTAGGGTAGTGTGTTTATGCAGCTCATTTAAAATGTAATGTATAATTAAGAAATACAGATTAATAGTCATCTATCATAGTCAAACTTATGGGCATGTTAGGTATGCTTTCAAAGTCAGACAGAGATATAATTCAGATAGATAAGCAATCTTCAAACACTTCAAAGACCTACAGGAGCCATAGGACCATGGATGGGACTCTAGAAGACAATTCCTGCTTCTCCCACTGCCTCAATTCCCACCTCCAGGGCTTCTACCTGATGACCCCGCTGAGCGGGAGCCCAGCCACTGAGCAGCCTCTCTAGATTTTGGGCTACCCAGCCTGCTCATGTGCTGGTGAGTGGTGTGCGCCTGTGAGAACCGCTGTTCTGGTCTCTCTCCTCACTCTTGCTCCATGCTGCCTGCGACCCTCCTAGCATGGCCAGGAAACGCTCTTTTTCTCTACAGAAAAAGTGTAAATAGATTGTGCACACTTACAGTAGTGCACACCAGTGCAGTCAAAGCCACTAGCAGCCCTGGCAGTTGGATGGACCTTTGGAATGCTGTCCACAAGAAGCAGGTGCTTCAGGGGACAGGACTTCACACCAGGGATTTTATCACGCTCAGAAGCAAGCAGATAAGACAGTGTCCTGTCTAGCGGAACATTCGTGCACAACCACATGTAGTTTTGAAAAGGGAGGAAATGGTCAACATAACATTCAGAGAGTGGTTATGTTGAGGACAGGCCGGGAATGGAATAGGAAGAACACACTAAGAGGGCCGGGCAGTGGGTCAGGTGTGGTCATTACAATATCTTCTGTGTTCTTTTATCACACACACACACACACACACACACACACACACACACACACACACACACACACACTACTATGCAACAATTTCAAAGATTAGGTGGGGAGGATCCCAGAGGTTCATCCATTTCCTTCCCTCTCACAGACTGGTTGGTTGCCCAAGACAGGTCTTGCTGGAGTCCCCAGGAGAAGTGTCAGTGAACATAGTGGACAGTTCCAGGGATGGCCTTGCCTGACGTCCTGGCAATGTTTGAGGCTGCAGGCCCAGGTGTCTCTCTTCCTGGCATTTCTAACATTCACCCTTGACCAGACTTCTCAGTTTCTTTTGTGGGTTCCCTGCCTCTGTCCATCCCTTCCTTAAGTGGAGGTGTCATGGGGTCCTCTCCAGATCACCTCACACCCTCAGTCACTGCTGCAGATGAGCCCTCAGTTCTTCCCCAGCCCACCCTGTCTTTCCTGGATGCCAGCCCAAACATCAACTTGTATTCTAACCTCTCCTTTCCGCTGCCACACAGACATTTTCCTCCAGTTCCTGGCCTTGGTTGCTAGCTGGTCCTCTCCTGGTAGCCTCTCTCCAACCTTCCAAGAGCCCAACACATGTGTCTCCATCTCAGTTCCTCCTCTTCTCTCTGCTACCATCTCTTCTCTTTCCCTAGACCACATCGGCACCAAATCTAGCCATCCAGTCTCTTAAACGGCACTCAGCTTTACCCATTCTCTCCATGCCTACCAAGACCTCCCTACTCAGAAGCAGCATCTTCTGCTTCTACAGCAGCATTTATCTCCTTGCAGTCTCCTTGCAGCTAGCCTTGGCTCAGTACCTAACCCACAGGTCATGGAACTGTGTCCTTGAGAATGTGAAAAGCTGAGTGTAGTCTGTTTATAAGCCTCTGGTGGCTGCCACGCCCTCAGGCTCTCCACCACTTGTCCCTAACCTACTTTCCCTCCTCATTTTCTCTCATATCCCTCACCTGTGCCTCACCCGACCTGCCACAGTGAACTTCTGTCGTATCTCAGACACACCAGGCTTTCTTTTCTTCTACCTCCAAAGCAACATGTCTCCACCTAGGACCTTCTGTGGCTGTTCCTATCCACTCTCTCTCACGTCATCTCTTAGTTAAGCTTTCAGGAAGCCTTTCTGGACTCAGCCAGGAATGGTAGATGGGTCCACAATCCCATAGCACCTGCTCCATTTTCTATTTGATTCAACCACTTGTAACACTATCAGTTGCTTCTCAATTGCTCTTTCTCCCAGTGTGGATTCTTAGCACTGGGCAGCAGGATTCCACACCAATGCCTGGCCCCCACTAAGCAGGCAGTAATGACTGTTGGATGGATGGAGAGTGAATGACACACGTGTCCTCACAGCAATCTTACAGACCTACAGTTCAGTGAGGGCAGTGGCTTGCCCCAAGCCACACAGGAAAGAGAAAGGTGGAAGTCGGGCTGGAGGTTTCAAAAGCCCATAGCAGTCACCACCTATATGCCTACGTCTGGCCATCCTACCCCATCCTTCATCCCATAGCTGGCCAAGGAGCACTTCCTTGGAGGATGGAAGCTGTCATGGTTACCTGGAAGCAGGTGGGCCCTGGCCTCCCTGTAGGGATGTCTGACTGGTAGAAAACTTTGAGCTCCGGGGTCAGGGCGATGACCGTCTTGATCACCAAGGAGATGATGTCAGACCAGACCTTCTTGATGTCCACACCTTTGGAGGAGAGTCTGCAGAGGATGCTCGAAAAAGTCCTCTTGCTGCCTGTGCTGGCGCTGTCAGAGTGGATGAACTTGCCACTGTGGATGTTCAGCGAGTAGTTGGTCAAGTGCATGAAGACATGGTGCAGATTCTGGGGGTTCGGCTCTTGATATGGCTCTGTACAAAATCTAGAGAGTCCATCTTTGGCTATATAAATCTCTAAGGGGTCCAATGACTTCAGCAAGACGTACAGACGGATGTCGAACTTGAGCTTGTCAATAAGGAGAGGCTTATAAATGTACTCCTGGACTACTGCTGGCCTGCTCTGCAGGGTCCCAGTCAGGCGGATGTCATTGGGATCTTTAATGAGGTAGATTCCATCACCCTGACAACCACCATCCGGTTTCACAATAAAAGTGGGCTTCCAGGACGGGTCACCATCTTTCACCATCCGGACCTGGGGGGGGGGGGGGAAAGACCTTTAGCACTGTGTCAGAGACCGCCCTCCCCGAGTGCTCACTAGGTGTCTTCCACAGAGATGATGCCATCGGGGGTACAGTGACATGGGACGGTCCTCAGTCTCTAGAGGGAGGTAGAACATGGATTAGAAAGGCAGTCACAGGACTGAGTTCAAGTCACTTTGCCAATCCTTAGTTGTATTCTTGCATGAGTCATATAACTAATAACAATGACAATGGCTTAATACAATTTGTGAGTGCCTGTGGTGTCATATTAGGCACCTTACACTAGTTACTTCATCAAACTGTCCCAGAAAACACGGGGTGTAGATGTTATAGAGGGGTGTAGATGTTATGTGTGAGAGGAAAGAGCCTGCCCGGGTTCAAGGCCTGCTGCTGTCATTTACGGTACAAATTATTTCTCTCTACCTTCCATACCTGCTAAATAGAACTAATACTGTCTTTTTTTTTTTTTCCTTTCCTGATCTTCTTTGTTTTGAGTAGGGTACCTTGTCTAACCTGGCCTTGAACTTGCTCTGTAGCTAGGGATGACCTTGAACTCCTGACCCTTTTATCTTCAACTCCCAAGTGCTGGGATTACAGATAAGCAAACATCACCCCGGCTTATGTAGTGCCGGACTGTGCATGCTAGGCAAGCATGCGGCTGCCTGAGTTACATCCTCAGCTCAGGGTAAGATTGGGCTAAGGGTTCAATGAGAAAATAAAAGCTGATGTGTGAGTGACAAAAGCCCAGCCACTCTAACTGGGGGAGGTGGCAGAGCTGGGACTGAGTCCTGGACCGACAGCTCCAGAGCCCTGTGCCTCCCTCCATGTCCCTTTCAACCCTCAATGGGACAATATAAAGATGTGACCAACTGAAACGTGCAAAGGACTGAGTGCGGTCACCCCGAGCAAGCACATAAGAAACAGGTTTTCTGGTTGATGTGCGTCTCACAGATTGGCCAAGCCCCCGATCTAACCTTTGGAGAATTACTTTGTCATCTGCAGCATTTGCCCTCCTCCCCGGTCTGGGTCAGCAGGTGACTCCCATGATGACCCAGGCACTTGGCCAGTTCAGATCTGGACCTGTGATCGTGTATAATTTATAGGTACCTGATTCCTCTAGGCCATGGCTTCAAGGTGTTCCCCTGGAGCTCTCATGGTGGAAACTTAACCCCCATATGCATATATTGAGGTATCTCAAGGTGGAAACTTAGCGGGTAAAGTTGGAGAGGTCATTAGAACAGAGGCCGTGACAGCACTGGTGGCTTCATGAGAAAGGGCGAGGGACCACCCCTCCCCACTGCCGGCTAGCACATTTGCCATGTCTTGTCCTATGATGCTCTCTGCCACCGTGTGATGCAGTAAAAGGTCCTTCACCAGCTACCAGCATCTTGACATTGGACTGTGCAGCTGAAAGACATACTTCTATTCTTTACAAACCAGCCAGGCTCAGGTGCTAAGACAGCCATGTTGGGGAGCTTTGGGAAGCTATGGAAGTTGATAACTGAAATGTTGAGAGAGGAGGTTTTCAGTGGGGACATGTAAAGATGGACAAAGGCATAGAGGACGCCTTGCTCTCTGCAGCTTCTGGCATGGAAGCTCTGCTCTGAGCTGTCACCAAGAGCAGCGCCCAGAGGCAGGCAGAGCCGGTGACATCCACTGCCAGCCTTTGCCTTTGCTGTGCAAGCCTGACCCAGGCCATCTGTGCTCTAGAATGTACTTATCTCTTTGACTGGCCTATATTTCTAACTGAAGCTTTTGCCGATTCCTTGGGCTTGTAAAAGATCCTTAACAATGGAGAAACACTTAAAGCCTTAATAATGGTTCACATCAATTGTTTCCTCCATGTCAGCAGGATTCTAGAATGGAACTTCACAAGAGATCAATGCAGGCTCCCGGGCCCTTCACAGAGCCTTTCCTGCAACAGTGACCTTGACGTTTCTGCCATTATTTAATATTCATCCAAGGCATCCACATGCATGGCCTTTACGGCAAATATGAGTGCAATGGACAAGTGGCAGCCATGGATCAGCCAGGAAAAATGTCAAGTTTGCACTGACGGGCAATTTCTGCCTCTGGGAAGCTTTTTCTAGGCCAATGATACTAACAGTTCAATATATTATCAGGAGTGATATTTTCTCCTTTGAATTTGGGGCATGTGTCTTAAATAAATTAAACTACATGGTCAATAGTCCCTGTCATTTATTACACTGTTGAATATTTCTTCTCTCTTTGCCAGAGTTGTCACTACAAATCAAGATTATTAATTCTAATAGAACCATTGAATTTTCTGAACCAAAAGGATCCTTGGAGATCGACATCATCCCATCCACTCATAATTCAAAGGGGAGGCTGAGGCTTAGAGAGGAACAGGACTTGCCTTGGGTCCCATAACTGGCTAGTGGGCAACTGGGACAAGAACAAGTTCACTTGGCCATTGTTATTTTTGATAAGATAAAATCAAAGACCTATTTTCTGACTTCTGTAGGAAAGGTTCTCTTGGTATCCCAGGCATTAGTGACGTCTGGGCTCTGACCTCACCCTGAAGATGGCTGTCTCAGAGCTGTCTGGGATAGTCCAGTTCCAAATCTCCTGTCTGGATTGGCAGTGTGGTCAGAAGCAAGTGCCACTAGGCTCAGTACTTAAAGGAACTGCCATGCCATCAGGACCCGAGTTCGATCCCCACCACAGGAAGCTGGACACAGTGGTGTGAGCCTGTGATCCCAGCACGGGGGAGCAGAGACAGGAGGGTCCCCAGGGCTCGCTGGGCAGCCAGGCTAGCTGAACTCCAGGCTCAGTGAGAGACTCTGCCTCCAAAACAAAACAAACAAAAAAGTGGTGAAGAGCAATTGAGAAAGACATCTGGCTTTGTTCTCTGGCCTGCGTGCGCGCGCACACACTCACACAAGGCCTAGGAAATGAGGCCCCTATATCTTCAGTCCCCTCAGCCACTTCTTTAGCAAGAAAGACTTTCCAGAATTCATATCCTCTGACTTCTGCCCCCTCCCCCCCCCCTACCTCCATAGACACCTTCCCCTCCAATGACTGACATTAAATACAGTTTCTATCTCTGGACCCCACCCCCACCCTCACCTCCCACTGAAAATTTTGACTTGATTTCAGCTGAGACCTGGGTATGTGTGATTTTCACGTGAGCACTGGGACCCACTGGACTAAAGTGAATTAAGCCAAAAATACCATCTGAAGCCACTATCTGAAATGAAGTTCTATGCCTTGGTGTTTGCCAGAATGTGAGCAAGACGGCTCAGACTACAGCTGATGGTATCTCTGGTTTATCCAACTCTGCTGTCGAATGTGAAATCCATTATCTTGTAACTGTATACACGGATGGCTGAGAGAGATACACAGAAGATGCCTTGGCCAGCTTGCTTAGCACTCAGGAGGCTTATAGAAAATTTCTGCATCTTTTACTGCCCCCTAGTGGATATTTTGGAAAGGCATCTGGGAAAGCCAGTCCGTTCAAATTTCCAACATTACTTAAATGGGGTATTATTAGCCTTAAAAGGGAAGGGAATGCTAAGAAGGTGGCACCTTGAGGACTCTGAAGAGAAACAAGCCAAACACAAAAGGGCAAGTCCTGTAGAGTCTCACCATTCAAGGTCCCCAAAGTCAAATTCTTAAGAATACAGAAGTAGAAGGGTGTTTGCCAGGCCTGGGTTGGGGGTGGTGGTGGTTAATAAATGGTTCAGTTACTCAAGAGTTAAGACATTCTACAGCTGGATGGTGGTGATGCTTGGACGACTGAACTTTACAGTCTAAAAATGATGGAGCCACGGCTGAGAAGACAGCTCTGTTGGAGGAGTGCCTGCAGCCCACGTATGTGGCCCCGCAGCGTGGTGGCACTTTCCAGAGGTGGGGTGGGGTGGGGAGCACTGAGGCAGGCAGATCCCAGAAGCTCCTTGACTAGCCAGCATAGCTGAGCTGATAAGCTCCAAGCAGTCTCAAAAGCTAAAGTAAAGAACAGTTCTACAGATTCATGCAGGAGTCTCTGGCCTTTGCATGCACATTACATACATACATACATGTGCATGTCTGGTCTCCACATAAAAACATATGCACACACACCACGCATACCACATATACACACCACACACATCACACCACACACTACTTACACACATACACCCACCACACCCCACATCCTACACCACACACATCATACACACCACACACACATATACACATACACACACCACACATCTGACACCACACACACCACACCACACACACCACATCACACATATACATACATGCACATATCCCTTATCCCACACCACACATCCTACATCCCACACCACACACACACACACACACACACACACACACACACACACACACACGGAAAAAAAAGACGAAGCTGGTAAACTCTGTCATTCGTATTTACTCTTAACTAGTCTTTGGTGAGCTGAAAAAATGAGCAAAAGCCAACAAAGTCTGGATCTGGGCTCCAGTGTTGCTAGGTCATTTCTAACTGTTGTGTGGCCATGGAAAGTCACTGGACCTTCTGGCCTCTGCTGTGTTCACCTGTAGAATTAAGGGCTCAATGGAAGGTCCTGGGCTTCAGGCTGCTAACAGGTGTTGAGCAGGGGTTTATGTCGACATCACCTCTCCTGGGGGCTGTGTCACAGACCCACAAGCAGCATTAATCATACCGGGAGGTCACGCTGCGCTTTACCACCAGCACCCGGGGACGATGTGAGAGCGGGCTGTGGATAAGAGACTTGGAATGCCTTGGGGCATGGGAGAGAAGCAAGCCGCAGCACTTGGAGGAATCCAGCAGCTGGACTAGAAAGGCACAAAGCATCATTAGCATTGAGAGGCAGGCGTGGGGACAACCTCTGAATTACGATGACACCGGGGATGTCAAAGCTAGTTAGAGCCGTGCTTTGTCATACTGGAGGATCTGCATTCCATCCTAACAACCCGGGCCCTTGGTGTCACAGGCACAAACAAGGCTTTGACAGATGAAGTAGGT